TGAATGAGATGGTAGCAACCAGTGAACTTTGCAGTCTCTCCCTCTCAGTCATGTGTTAACTTAGTGACCATTTCACTTAATGACCAAGTTGTAGGACTGGAATTCAGTTGCTAAATGAGGAGTGGGTGCAACTTTATTCCTGCAAAATATAATTACAGACTAAAGTATGCAAATAAACATACCCTTTATTAGGACTTCCACATTTGGGCTGCGAAATGTCGGGGAACCCATAGATGGCAGAACAGAGTTCTCCACAGCTCTTTCCTGCTATCTAGTGATCAAATGGTTTCAGCAGCCCAGGTCTGCCAGCCTTACCTTTACGTGTTTTTGTTTTGTTTTTTGGTGCCTTCAATTCAATGTTGACTCCTGGCAACTGCCTGGAGAAGTCCCTGCAGTTTTCCTGGCAATATTTCAGAAGTGGTTTGCCATTGCCTGCTTCCTAGGGCTGAGAGACTGACTGGCCCAAGGTCACCCAGCTGGCTTCGTGCCTAAGGCACAAGTGGAACTCACCGTCTCCTGGTTTCTAGCTCAGCAGCCTAACCACTACACCACACTGGCTCTACCTTTATGTAGCAGTTTGTGGTTGTGTTCCCCCCCCCCCAGGCTAGAACAGACTGGATTCAGAATATCAGCATCATAAGCAACTAAATATGGGGATCTGAGTGGTATTACACTCTTAGAAGCATATAAAGCATAAGGCACCAATTTTGCCCTAGGCAGACGTCCTGCACTACCATTTGCTAGCCAACCTTTCCTCCCACCAAATGGGCTCCCAAATTTCCTTTTATCAACAGGGAAAGCCTAGTTCCAAATACACTTTGGATCTCCACAATGCTGCTGGACAGCCAAAGCATAGTTAGCAGGTTATTTCTTTATTTAGAATATTTATATAGCTGCCCAACTCCAACAATGTGACTCTGGGTGGTGTACAAAGTCATTAAACAAAAATACAAAAGAAAAATAACATACAGCACTAAAGCAAATTAAAACAGTTAAAAGACAATCAGGACTCAAATATATCTCACCGTTTGTGCACCGGAATAAGTTGTATGCCTAGCAAGCCCTTGTATAACATTGCCCAGGATAGAGGTGAACATGAAGAAAGGAGTCTACAATGCTTTCAAGCTGTGTGATTTAATGTCCTGGATAAAGTCTTGGGCTTATGTTTTGGTCCCATTGACTCCAAGGGGAATAAACTATATAGTACGTTTCTTACTAAATCATGTGTTAGATTTTTAAGGGTGTGTACTGAAGATAAACGTTCTATGACAAAATACTTGATTACTGTAATCTGAACCTAAGTTATCTTAAGAGGTCAAGATAGCTGAGGATACCAAATAAATAAGAAAATTGTGAAGGACTGATCTGAGATTCTAAAAAGAGGATTTTCTACAGACTGAGTTGCTCAAAGAGAATTAGATGTGTTTAACCAAACCCAAACAAGTTTATTTGTTATTTTAAAACTGGCAAGCACTTCATAGCCAATGGAATAACATTGTTGTTGCTTTATTACATATTTTAATACTTTCATAAATGTTATATAAAAAGTTAAATCTTACCCTTCTAATGCATGTCTGCCACTCAGAGTGACTAGGTTAAAATAGATCCCTGTCAATCACAGCACATAATACTGCCTGGTTATGTTGGATGTATTAGTCCAGCTTGCTTGGGAACTGTCTATTCTAATAGGCAGGAATCATATAAAACCTAAGGCAGTATGTGGGGTGTGGGAGTGATGGGGTAGTTGTTTTCATCAGGATTCCCCCTCCTTTTACATTGAAACTATCGAAGATTGAACTTCCTAATTATGTGGGCTCTTCAACAGGACAAACTTTTACAGATCTTTCTTCACTCAGAACATATTGAGTCCTAAAAGAGAGTCACATGCCCCATGAGACTTTCATGTGTACATACACATTTTCAAACATCACCACCATCACCCCACACCTATTTTAACTATACTCATGTACTGGGAAATATGTATTTTGCTATAAGAGACCAGGAATAAAAATGGTTTTTCAGATGTGGAAGGTTTCCTTCATATCTTCTTAGAAACAGACACCGAACATGCTTTTAACCCATTCTGAATGTCTTGTTGTATGTGTGACAGCTGTTCCCGCACTCCCTTCTCTTCCTTCAGTGTGGCAATGGGAGATCAGGGGTATTTACTTCTGATTTCAATTTACTCCAGTTTAGTGTGTTCAGACTCTAAACTAGTTAGGCTTGAGTATGGTTAACTGAAACACACTGGCAACACATCTGATGTATAAAGTCCTAACCATGCTGAAGTCTGGTTCTGATCTAGCCCCGTCTGTGCCTCCAATTGTGAGCTGCCCAGAATCACCCTCCGGGGAGATGGGCAGCATGCAAATTGAATGAATGAATGAATGAATGAATGAATGAATGAATGAATGAAGAAGAAAGAAAGAAAGAAAAGAAAGAGAAAGAAAGAAAGAAAGAGAAAGA